CACCAGCCCTCGCCCGGCCATGGAGAGGATCCCCAGCGCCCAGCCCCCGCCCGTGTGCCTGGGCAAGCTGCCCGCCCTGGACAGCCCCGACATGCCCGGGTAAGCCCCGGCCCTGCGGCGCGCAGCGGGCTGCAGATGCCCCCAGCCGGGGATGGGCTTCAACCTGACCCCGGGGGGGACGGGGACTGAACTTCACTCGCGGGCAATTAAAATGAATGCCGCTTTGTTCTCCCCCTGTCTGCAGGCTGGACTTCGCCCACATGTACCAGGTCTACAAGCCCCGGCGAGGCTTGAAAAGGAGCGAGGACAGCAAGGTAAGGGGAGCCCGCCTCGCCCGCGCCATCTGCCGAAGCTGGCGCTGGCCGCCCAAATTTGGGGTGGCTGCGGGGTGCCCTTCTGCCAGGGCGCGCGCAGGGGTGGGGGAGAAGCCCGGACGGCTTGCCTTGCCCTGCCTCCAGGTGTCTTGCCTGCGGGACGCTTGCGCTTGGCGTACCCCACATGTCCTGCAGCGGGGAAGGAGGGGAACCGAGTTTTGCAGGAGTTGAGCAGTGCTTCTGCAAGGGACAAAGTCAGCCAAGCTCCCTGGTGACAACGCTGGGAGGTCACGTCTCAGTTTCTAGATTGCTTCTGATCGCTGTGTCTCTCCATGGTGCTAGGGACTCCATTTGGGATCTGGGCTGACTGACTTAGCCACCTTTCTCTCCCCGCTTTTGGTTTGCAGGAGACCTACAAGTTGCCCCACAGGCTGATAGAAAAGAAAAGGCGGGATAGGATTAACGAGTGCATCGCCCAACTGAAAGATCTCTTACCAGAACATCTCAAACTTACAGTAAGTGAAAATCTGCCTACTGGCCAAGCTCCTCTTCCTTTTCGGGGTACGTGCAGGTCTCCTGGATTTCTGTGCAAGTAAACGTGCCATCTAGAGGCTTCCTTTGAGCACTGCAGCGCAGGCTGGGAAAGGCTGAGATTTGGCTGGAGTTGCCACTTTGATCTTCCTTTAGCATTGGATTTCCTTGCAAAGGCAGTGAATTTCTATACCAATGCCTGTAATGCAGTAGGGAGGGAGAAAGATAAGACCTGAGCCACTCCTATGGTAAAATCGGGCCTCTTGTAAAAGTCACCAATGCACGCTTGAATTTTAACATCGTTCGGCGAAGGTTTGGGCATTTTCTTTTGGACCTTGGAAGTGCTTCGTGCCACTCTTTGCAATGTAGGACCAGACGCCAGTTACAAGGCAATCCCTAATTTATCCCAGAGTCCGGTCCTTGTAGACTTTGTTTCAGTGCTACCTACTGCCAAGATTTAAATGATTTGCTACGTTCGCATAGTGGAGTAGATTTTCAAGGTAGCAACCTCTCCTGTATTCGGGACTTCTGGTTTTCAAAATATGAGTGTTAAGGGGCTGGGTTTTTTTTTTTTATTTTGTTTTTTAATTATATTTTTATTGCAGAACTTTATGGGGAAAGCTATTTTGGCTGCCACTTTGCAGGTCTCCCTTCTCCTGTCGCTGTTCAAAAGGACCCTTGATTGGAGTCCCTGGTGTTAAGGTCACGATACTAGCAGGGGCAGCAGAACAGATGAATAAGATACTTTCCTCCGAGCTATGTAGTCGGTCTCAAAATACTGATAAGACATAACTACAGCTTTCTCTGCAACCACTACCTTTTTTTTTTTTTTTATGGTTTACATAATAAGTGGCTCTGACTCCAGAGTTTATTATTCAGGATAAATGATTTCACAGAGTAAGGACACTATTAGCTCTCTCCCACAGCAGTAACTCTTTTTCATTTCATCAGAACCGTACTTACGTGTCCTTTTGTTTCCAGACTTTAGGTCACTTGGAGAAGGCAGTGGTTCTTGAACTTACCTTGAAACACGTGAAAGCACTGACCAATCTCATAGAGCAGCAGCAGCAGAAAATAATTGCGTTACAGAGTGGTTTACAAGCTGGTGAGTATTCAAGTCATGCTTGTATCACGTGAGAGTCCTAGTGTGCAGAGCGAATTCACTTTCAGCTCCTTTTGAACTATGGGTGACTTACGAGACTAGGTTTTGGAGAAGGGACAAGTAAGCACATTCCCCCACTCCTTTAGTTACTCCTCCCTGCAGCATGTGTGTGTGCGCCCACATGCAGAAAAGACTCTGTATTGCCCTATTTGGTTAACTTATACTTAGCCATGATTTTTTTTTTTTCATTTTTCAATTCAACTGGATATTAAAATATTTCATTTGGAAGTACATTTTTACTGGGCGGCCTAATCCAAAGATATGCTGGCCAGAATCTTTCCACTGATTTGATGAGCTTTTACATTTTTTTTTTTTTTTCTTCTCAAAAACAGATGAAAGCATCTGTTTGACCCACACTTTTTTGGTTTCTCCAGTAATCAGTTTGCCTACCCTTCGCAGCTTGAGGGGGAACCAGTCTAAAGGGCTTACTGATGTTCTAAGTCTGTTTCGTACTTCCATCCTTTCCGGCACTTGTTTGCATCGGGTAGGATAAAATCAGCTTTTCTAAGAAGGCTGCTACTCTTTCCACAACCACAGGGCGTGCAGTAGAGTTACACAGCCAGAGCTGGCGTCACTTGTCAAAGTTTGAGCCCAGTCCTCCCTGGGGTCTGGAACTGAGGGGTAAAGTTTGAACTCTTGCACTTTCTTTTTTGTTCCGATGGCTGTGGAATAGGTGTTTTCCTGATGAGTCTTTTTTGCTGTTCTTCTCAAACTAGCATCTGATTGCCACATATAATAAGTTGAAAAGCGAAACTTGTCTGTGAAGACTCATTCTTAGATGGATGTGGTAAAAACGGGTATTCAGCTTGACCGTAGCATGAAGTCAGATTCACTTACCTAGCTTCTTTGTAATGGATGCTTAATATGGAGGCCAAGTGTCTTCGGACCAATGCACTGTGATGATGATAATGGAACTATTTAGCACTTTGTTAATTTTTAATTTGTTTCTGTTAACGTTTCCTCAGGTGACCTGTCATCAAGAAACCTTGATTCCAGCCAGGAAATGTTTCGATCTGGTTTCCAAATGTGTGCCAAGGAAGTGCTGCAATACCTGGCAAAGCATGAAAATAGCAAGGATCTGAAATCTTCCCAGCTAGTCAATCATCTGCACCGAATGGCTTCTGAAGTCCTTCAGGGTGGAGGCAGCCGAAAATCTGGAGACATGTCCCCCAAAATGGTGGTGGACTTGAAGGAGAAGTCCAGCTCTTTGACCAAAATGGCTGAGGGACATGGGAAAAACTGTGTGCCTGTTATACAGAGGACTTTTGCCCACTCCAGTGGAGAGCAGAGTGGCAGTGACACAGACACAGACAGTGGGTATGGGGGAGAACTGGAGAAAAGTGACTCAAAATCTGATCAACAGTATTTCAAAAAGGATACAGAACTCAAATATACTGTGCAAGAGAGAATAAGCTCTATTAAACAGGAGACGGAGGACCCACCCGCCAAACGGACCAGGATGGAAACTTCAGAAGATGAAGGCCATTTTAGCAGTGATATGATTGGCTCTTCAAACAGCTTTTTGGGCCCTCACCCTCACCAGCCTCCTTTGTGCCTACCGTTTTATTTGATCCCGCCATCTGCAACGGCCTATCTGCCGATGCTAGAGAAGTGTTGGTACCCAGCGTCTGTGCCCGTCTTGTATCCAAGTCTCCCAGCCTCTGCTGCAGCACTTACTGGGTTAATGAACCCGGATAAAATTTCTCCACCTCTGCTGATGCCTCAGAGACTCCCTTCCCCTATACCAGCCCATTCCCCTATCGACTCTTCGGCCCTGCTTCAAGCTTTAAAGCAAATTCCTCCTTTGAACTTGGAAACCAAAGACTAAGCAGAGTGTGACTTTTTTTTAAAGTTTGAGACTGTCAATTTTATATAGCGGCTGGACTGAGGTGTGGGGATAAGGTTCATTGTGTATAGGAAGCTAAATCCTCTTTTCCCTGACTCCTCAGATAGCTTGGGAAAGGATGAAGGATGCACCAGGTTAGCCATTCAGAAGAGTTTAAAAGGAAAAAAGAAAAAAAAAGGTTTCTTTGTGCTTTACCCCCAACCCACCCCATTCACCAAGCAACAGCTGACTTACCCCGCTAAGATTATATTTCAAAGCTGTGAAAAAATTTCCACAAGGCAGATTTAGGTTTTAGGGTCTGTGAATATAAAAATATGGTACTTCTTATGAGGGCTTTTCGAAGCAATGGCCTGCCGCCAATGGCTTGAGCTGAGCTGATTTGTGTCCCCACCCAGTTGCCAGTATGTGAGATCTGACACACACACACACACACACACACACACACACACA